GACCATATAGAGGCCCAGACCAGCTAAGAACTGTGCAGTCATGTCACTGCTGTTGAAAACCACTAAGTTTTGGAGTGTCTTATTACGCAACAATAAATAACTGATACAATCTACTTTAAAAAACAATATATTATTGTCTCAGAACTGTCCAGATGCCAGCCCGCTATTATAATTCTGCTTTCTGGTATGGTGAAAAATGTCCCTTTTAAGAAATATTTGAACTTAAAAAAAAAAAGAAAAAAGCCAAACCCCAACCACAAGCTAAACTGAATATTTAATACATTCTGTAGGAATAGAAGGAATGCAACAAAGATTAGAATTTTATAGTATTCGTTAGACATTTATGTAAAAACTGTTCCATTTTTCCCAAAGAAATTTCCTCAATTTCTTGTCATTGCTATTTTCTTCGGAGCAATGACCTGTAATTTCTACTCTTGCAGGTAAGGGGCTCCATTGTGTTGGGCAGCAATTATAACTTTATGTTTCAAGTCATTATCACCTCCAAACACTCCCTTTCATTTATTTCACTGCCCAGTCTCACTGTACTGTTTCATAGTGAAAACACACTCCACTCAAATTCAAAGAGCCTGAACAGAAGCTAGAAGCCCAAGGATGCTTAGGGACTGATGTAGTAACAATGTCTACTGGCACAAACCTCCTATTCATTCATACTATTACAGCTACGTTAATGAAAAAGGAACGTGGGAATGAGATCATTAACTATAACCAAATACATTCTAAATATAAATACCATGTGTTTCCTGATCAGTATCAGGCAAACATCTAAACCATCCACCCCAAGTTCTAAGAGGAAAAGGTCAGAGACAATTACAAAGAAGGTGCTTCACATTATTAGGTCCATTTTGAAAACAAGGAGGTCCCTGGGTCAATGCCTTTAGTCTTTCTTTTTATCAGAGATTTCTGTCGATCCTGATGTTGGTAATCCATTTATGTCTGCACCCTAAAATGAAAAAACATTTTAGAGATTATTACGAGACACTCATCATAAGAGATACTCTCTTTGAAAACAGTCGACAAACTTCAGAATGAAAAAGCTCTGCTTCTAGAATTATGCAGGATGGCTTAGTGCAGTTGAACACAATCGAAGTTGAACATTACAAGCACCATTGCTAAAAACAACAGGTAGTCTCTAAATAGTCATTTAAAAATAATAACTTCATTTTGTAAAAAAATAAAATAAAATAAAATAACCTCTACGATCCTCCTAAATTAAGTCTCCCACCAAAATTAGCAACCAGGGAAACTGGCTTTTTTTCATGTCATCTCTTCGCACCCATGAGCTAGTCACCATTACTCTCAGCAGCCACGAAATACTGGCTATTAGCTTGGCCATTGGCAAGGAGCAACTGCATTAATCAGAGGCCTAGTTTAAAACTTTAGTTTAAACCAACTGTTAATTACTTTAAAAAACAATACCCAAATTCCTTATTTTTTTTTCAAATTATAAGAGAAAGTTTATTTAGAAAGTTATAAAGGTAGTAGAAGTGAGCCAGCTGGGCTGCACAGGCTCAGAAACAAGCCCTTGGAGCTTCGAAGAGGGAAAGACAAAGGTAACTCGCCCAGGAGGAAAAAGAGGGGCCGGAAAGGCTGGGAGGGAAAGCCAACGCCCCCGCTCCCACCTCCACTTAAAAAAGAAGGAAATTAAGACACGTTGATGAAGCTTCTGGTTCCAAGAACTTGCCTTTCCAAAAGCCAAATAGTTTACCCTGACTGTACCACCCCCTCACCCAGCCTTCCTAGTCGAGGTATTTTAATGTCCTTACCTTATAGCCTATTTTGCCTTTGCTTGTATCACTGGATTCTTGCACAGCTTTTCTAGGCCATATGCGACTAACAAAGGGGGAAATCAGAGGGTATATGTATGGCTCCAGGAACTTTTTGTAGATCCAGAGCAGAACTGGAATGACGATACAAGGAATGCACACCATTGTCCCAGGTGGGAGCTCCTGAGCTGATAGACGCAAAGGAAAAACAAATTAGTTCCTCACAGATTAATGACTAAAGGAATTTAGCTAGATTAGGATGTTCGAAAGGATTATTTCTACACTGAATGAAAAACTTAGATCATACTATTAGCTAAATGCAAGAACCTATTAAAGATACTGCTATCTGCAAGGTAAAGGAATAATAGGTGGTAGGCATGAAAATAACAGGGACGTTCCCGCTTCCAAATCTCTCCAATCACTGCTCCCCAACCATAAATTTATCTGCTAGGTGCTAGGCAGTTTAATGCTTTGCATATACGGTTGGCCCTCTGTATCCCCAGGTTTTGCATCATGGAGTCAACCAACCCCAAATCGAAAACATTTGAAAAGAAAATTCCAAAAAGCAAAACCTGAATTTGCTATGCAGAGCACCTCGCTAAATCCACGCAAATGAAGTGATGTGTAGGCATACAGGCACCTATTTACAAACACTACACCTTTTATATGGGGGACTTGCGCCCCCAGGAATTTTGGTATGGGGGGGGGGGGGGGGTGGTGGTGGTGGAAGGGTTTCCTGGAACCAATTCCTTGAGGATACTGAAGGACAACTGTATAACTCATTTATTCAAAACCCAGTGAGGTCGGGTATCTCTGCATCTTAATTTACACATACAGCAAAGGAATGCACAAAACATTAAGGAACTTGGTAATTATGACTTAATTAGCCAAACCTACAATGCTAAGGGCAAACATTAGAATATGAAACTCTCTAAGATATCACTTTGCAAGACCTCTAAGCTGCAAACTGGTTGGCCTTTTCCAGGCAAGAATTCTCCCTTGATATAACTGCTTTTTCTTTTTAGTGGCAATTAAGGTGTACCGTGTAATAAAACTATTTATTTGTTTATTTATTATTTTTATATAAGTAAATTATTATTAGTATAAGGAAATTGTTCATTTCCAAAAATTAACACATCTGATTTCCTTGATAATTAGAAATCTTAGAATTTCTCAAAATCAGCAATTTATTGAAAAAGAACAAATACTACTTCCACAAAACACTATTAAACCAAATACTTCTTAAATTTACAAGAATTTTCAATCTCTTAGAGTAGGCCTTAAAAATGAAGATGCTTTGCCCTGGCTGGTGTTGCTCAGTTGGTTGAACAGCACTAAGAAGTTGCCGGTTTGATTCCCAGTCAGGGCACATGCCCGGGTTGTGGGCTCCATCCCCAGTAGGGGGCGTGCAGGAGGCAGTTGATGGATGGTTCTCTCATTGCTGTTCCTCTCTCTCTCTCTCCCTCTAAAAATCAATAAAAACATTTAAAAAAAAAAAAAAGCCCAACAACTGAGAAGCTTCAGAACACTGCACAAGGCTAGTAATTCAGGATGTTAAAATTTCATCATGACTACACTAAGGCAATTTAAAATTATTCACAATACAAGTGAACAATGGCACAGACAATTCAATCTTAATGACTTTGAAATGAATTACAAGAGCTACAAACAAAAATCCAGATGTACATCAATGAATGAAGAGCTATTTTACAAGGGATTCATAACCATTTTTTAAAAAGGTCCCCTAATCAAATTAAAGTAACAACTTAAGAATTTACCAAAATATTTAAAAGCCAAATGAATGGTGAGTCTTTTTCACTGTTTTTCAAGGAATCATTATTTTTGTCCATACACATTTAGAATGTCATCTGGGATACTGAAAAGGCGGTGTGGTTTAGGTGCTGCACGCTCTCACAGGTGCCACAGCATCATCAGGCTGACTGGCTGGCAGCTGCCTGGATGTGAGATGTTTCCCCCACTTTCTATACGGTGTTCTTGGGCAAATTATTTAACCAGTCTGTGCCTGAATCCCCTGGTGTGTAAAATGTAGACAACAAGGATACCTACCTCACAGGGATGGGGATTAGATAAATTAATATGCATACAAAGCTCAGAAGAGTGTCTGCATATAGTAAGTGCCATGAAATCGTTACCAAAAAAAAAAAAAGCCAAAAATGGTGACCTGCCCAAAGTTCACACAAAGGTAACAAGTAACTAGAGGTGGCTAAGACCAGAACTCGAGGTCCGGTTTCCTAGCTCTGGTCTCTACCCCTTCCCCAAACACACTGATTATGCTAATTATCGCCCTACCAAAACTCCAATACCAACTAAATCCTTCCCAACAACTGGCAAGCTGATGACTGGCAGTCCCTCCATCATAAAGGTTCATTTTTACCTATTTGTAATTGTGTTTTAATTACTTGCGCGTTGTGTTTTAAATAAACTCTCGAGAACAAATACTCCTCATCAGCTTTGTCATACTAATGGCTTTTATCAAACTTTTTAGCTCTCTTCAGAATGAAGCTATGTATTTCATCTCTAAATCGTCCTGATTCTTCGATGAGTTATACTTCAGACATGTGGAAACGGTGGCTTAAAAAGGTTGCGAAGGTGGCTACGATAAACTGATAAAATTATAATTTTACTTAACCTCCACAAACCAGTTCTCGGATACTACAACGAAGTAAGCAAAATGGATTAAACTGTTGTAGGAGAGAAATGTTCTTATTCGACGTAGTCCAGTGCAATGGACTAGAGAGACAAGGCGGAGGCCGTCGGAATGGGGCGGGTGGAGGGGAGCGCCGCCCTGGTGACCCCAGCTCCGCACAGAGCAGCATCTTATGGAGACCAGAGCGGGACAGGGAGTGAAGACAAGGAGCGAGGACGGGGGAGAAGAGGGCGAATGGCGGCGAAGATAACAGACGGGCCAGGAAACCGACAATTCGGGCCAAGGGAGGGAATAAACGGACAGGAAGAGAAAGGCAGGCGGGAGGGTGCACCGGGGGGGAGAGATGGGGGGAAGCCGGCGACAGGGGCGCGCTGGAGGGCGCAGGGGGGCCCATCGGACAGCGCAGGGGTCCGCGGGGCCCAGGGCAGGAGCCGCGACCCGGCTGGGCTCGGTCCGCGCCGCCCGGAGCTGCCCGCCGGCGCCGAGGCCCCAGCCCATCCCGCCCCCTAGGCCCGGCCCAGAGCCCCAGCCCCCTCGACCCCACTCACCCGCGACCACCAAGCCCGAGTGGAAATGTCCGCACTTCCGGAGGGAGGGACCTGCCGCCGCCGAGCCAATGGACACCGCAAAAGGGGCCGACAAAGACGAGCCTGCGTCAGCCTGACGACACAAAGCGTACGTACCGGGGCGCCGGGCGGGGCGGGGCCGCGGGCGGAGCCGAGCTTCCCAGGCCCTCCCGCGCACCCGGCGTCCCGAATACCGAATTCAAATCGTTGATCCAAGAAATGACGCCTGTACCAATGGATCCCCACCGCAGGGGCGGCTACTTCACTTGTTTTCCATGCATGTGTGACTACAACCACCCTCTCCCGGATCTGAAAGGGACTTCCATTCGAGGGGAGGGTGGACTGTCAACCTTAATTGGCTATTTAAGAGAAATGGCTACCACTTCACTTCCACCTAAGGTCAGTGTTGAAGACGTGGAGAAAACCCGGACCCTCTCTAAGGGGTATTGTAAATGGCACAATTGTAGTCAGGCTGTTACCATGACTGGGCAATTACACTCTTGGCCAGGGGTGGGCAAACTTTTTGACTCGAGGGCCACAATGGGTTCTTAAACTGGACCGGAGGCCTGGAACAAAAGCATGGATGGAGTGTTTGTGTGAACTAATATAAATTCAAAGTAAACATCATTACATAAAAGGGTACGGTCTTTTTTTTTTTTTTTTAGTTTTATTCATTTCAAACGGGCCGGATCCGGCTGTTACCATGACTGGGCAATTACACTCTTGGCACATACACAAGAGAAACTAGAGCATGCCCATCCAAAAACCTACAAAGGTGCACAGCAGCACTATTTGCAATAGCTTAAGACCCAAATGTTCAATAAATATAAATTATACATCAAGTACAATACATGGATGAACCCTGAAAGTACTGTCAAAAACCAGAGCCAGTGGGCCACACATCCTGTGATGTTTCTTGAGATGTCAACAGGCCTATCTACAGCTAAGTAGTTCCCTAGGGCTGGGAGTAACAGCTAAACCACTGCCCAGGTTCCTCTCTGGGGTGATTACAATGTCCTGAAAGTGATTTTAGTGATAGATTCATAACAGTATACTAAGATCCACTGCACTGTGGTGAACTGGTGTTAAATCTCAATGAAGTGGCTGGAAAAAAATTTCCGAACTCCATGTTTTAATCCCATCGTATGCAAAAAAGCAGCAAGACTTTCAAAACAGCATGTTTATGACCCAAATTAATGACAGAACAGAATAATCTATTTTTAAGTTCTTATCAGAAAACTTGTTTTATCACTTGAAATATATTTAGTAATAAAGACAACCAACATGCTGCTTTTACTTTTACTTAGATTTATTTTATGCTGAATTTACTCCCGGGCCATAAGTTTTTGTTTCTTCAGTTTCTTCTGAGATATCTGGGGAAAGAAAATGAAAAGGACTGTTAAATTTCCTGAAAAAACATCCACACTACATCTTATTAAAAAGAGGTCTTAGCTTCAGTGAAAGAACTGGAAACATCAACATAAAAGGGCTCTAGCTGGTTTGGCTCAGTGGACAGAACGTTGGTCTGTAGACTGAAGGGTCCCAAGGTTTGATTCCGGTCAAGGACACATGCGTGGCTTGTGAGCTCAATCCCCAGTAGGGGGTTGTGCAGGAGGCAACAGATCAATGATTCTCTCTCATTGATGTTTCTATCTTTCTCTCTCTCTCTCCCCCTTCCTCTCTGCAATCAATAAAAATATATTTTAAAAAACATAAAAGGAAAGAGTCCTTTGGCATAGAGATGTGGTATGACTAATCAGGGAAGGAGTTTAAATTGATTTTCACTGAAGACAGTGACACGAGCTAATGACAGGATATTTAAGTGACAATATCAATACAAAAAGTCTATTGGGTGTGAAGGGAAGATTTCAGAATCACTCCCAGTTTCCTGGCCTACCCAACTGAATGACTAGCTAACAATGCTGTATGATACATAGGAAAGTTGATAGGAAGAGAAACCGTAAGAATTCTTAACCATACCCTCCCCCCCCTCTTTCTTATTTTTACTGTATCTAGGAGAACCCACTGTGGTAATCATTTCACAGTATACTTAAATCAAGCCATCATGTGGCACACCTTAAACTTTACAATGGTATGAGGCAATTCTCAAAAACAACACTGACTTGTCATCATTTACTGAATATAGGCTTATCAGATCTGAGGGGCATTTTTGGAAGTGGCAACGGACATGTAGGAGGGACTATCAGCAGACAATCACAGTTCTGATGTACCGAATGGTATAAAGTTACTATTCAGTATCAATCAAGAAACAAATGAGATCCACGAAAGTAAAAATAAAATACAAGGTTGCTGGTTGCTCAGAATAGTTTCCTTTCATGGTTATTCCAAAGGTGTCCTAAGTTAGTCATCACAGCAACCACACAACCAAAACTGAGCAAAGACTAAGAAACTTACCTTTTTCTTCTGTGCAACCTCCTCTTCTGGTTTAGGAACAATCTGCTCCTTTTCAGTGAGGATCATCTCAATGTGGCAGGGAGAGCTCATGTAGGGGTTAATCCGCCCATGAGCTCTGTAGGTTCTACGCCGCATCTTGGGAGCTTTGTTCACCTGAATGTGCTCAATGACCAGAGAGTCTACATCTAAACCCTGGGAAGAAGGGAGAAGGAACATATCTTAACACCATCCATGGAAAATTAAGTTCCTGCCTTAACGAACTTTTTTGAAAAGCAATCCTTAAGAATTTAAGCCGAGGATCAGTTTAAGCAGTTTCTTTAAACTTGGTTCTAAATGTCCTTCCTTAAATTAAACCTAACTACCAAAACTCAGTGCTATGCTAAGTGCATGTTAAAGATCACCAAGAGTAGTGTTAATTTCTAAGCTTTGATGATAAACAAGACTTTGGCAGCATGGCTTAGCAGCTGAAAGAATTATACAACCAGCCCTGGCTGGTGTGGCTTATTTGGTTGGGTATTGTCCTGTGCACCAAAAGGTTGCCAGTTTGATTCATGGTCAGGGCACATGCCCGGGTTTTGGGCCCAATCCCAGGTGGGGGTGTGCAAGAGGCAACAGGGATCCATGTTCCACTCTTTTTTTTTTTTTTTAAATATATTTTATTGATTTTTTTACAGAGAGGAAGGGAGAGAGAGAGAGAAACACCGACCAGCTGCCTCCTGCACATCTCCCACTGGGGATGTGCCCGCAACCCAGGTACATGCCCTTGACCGGAATCGAACCTGGGACCCTTCAGTCCGCAGGCCGACGCTCTATCCACTGAGCCAAACCGGCCTTGGCCCATGTTCCACTCTTACAGTGATGTTCCTCTCTAAAAACCTATATATAAATATAAAAAAAGGCTAAGATAAGCGGCTAAGCAACCTAGCTATGACACGCACTGACCACCAGGGGGCAGACGCTTGATGCAGGGGCTGCTGATTGACAGCAACTTTGCAGGGTGCCCTCTTCCACTCTGGGACCCCTGGGGGATCGAGGGATTGTCGGTGAGCCAATTTTAGTCTGATCCCCGCAGGCCAGGCTGAGGGACCCCACTGGTACACGAACGCATGCACTGGGCCTCTAGTAAATATGCACTGAGTGGCCAGATTATTATGACCACCCCATCAGTACTTCATTGACACTTCCAAAAATACTGAATATTGAAAATTTCCTAAGCAAATACTCTTAAGGTTTTATTATTATTATTTGCCTAACTAATTCACTTCATTGTACTGATGGGGTGGACATAATAATCTGGCCACTCAGTGTATATATACTAGAGGCCTGACACATGAAATTGAGCAAGGGCCTCTGCTTCAGCCCCCTGCCCGCTGCGGCTTTGGCTTTGTCCGGAAGGATGGATGTCTGGTCTGATTAGCATATTACACTTTTATTATTATAGATATAAATAAAAGGGGGTTATAGCCAGAGACCCACATTTTTAATTCTGGCCCAGATTTCCAAATGCTAAAGGGGAATAGACAAACCTATTTTGTTTAGTTTTAACTTCTAAATGAAATTTAACATCTCTCCATTAAGATTGTAGGCAATAGCCTGGCCGGCGTGGCTCAGTGGTTGAGCATCGATCTATGAACCAAGAGGTTATGGTTTGATTCCAGGTCAGGGCATATGCCCAGGTTGCAGGCTCAATCCCCGATGTGGGTTGTGGAGGAGGCAGCTGATCAATAATTCTCATCATTGATGTTTCTCTCTCCCCTGCCCCCTTCCTTTTAAAATATATTTTAAAAATATATTTTTTAAAAGTGTTGGCAATAAACCACATTAACCATTACTAAAGCAACCACTTTGATAACTATATTTGTTTCTTTGCAATAGGGTCTTATTGTTTGTATAGTAAGTCTGAACAACATTAACTGAACAACCATCTAAGCTGGATACATATAAAGGTGTTAATGCTTTGGGTACCTTAAGTTCAGCATTGCTCTCGGCATTTTTAAGCATGTGCAGCAAAAATTCAGCACTCTTTTTGGGCCACCGACCCTGTGTCCAGCCCCACTGTTTTGCCTAAAGAAAACAAAGGCAGGCTATTAGTTAGTTCCAATTTAAATAAAATGTACAACCATGATTAATTTATGGCAGCTCTCCCACCTGGGAGCATACCCACACCTTTCCTCTTTTCCTTCTCCCTCTTCTTCCCCTGCAGGCTAGCATCTCCTAAACTCTAAGGGACCCCACGGAGACTTGCAACCAGGGAAGCAATAGGCGGCAGCAGCTTGTCCTGGACCAAAACCCTGAACCTGTCTCCATGGCCCCATGTTGTCTTTCCAGTGAGCTGACCACAGCGCTGCCTTGGCTCACTCCTTTCCTTTCCCGTAACATTTCTAGGGAGCAAAGCAGCACCCCCTCGTCTCTCCCGTTGCTGCTTCTGTCCTAAGCCATTCCCATTTCGCTGTTCCCTGCTTTAGTAAACATACTCTCAAAATCACAAACAAAAACACACAATTTATTTCATTCACTTCAAGGTTGCTCAGAACATGGTTTTTTTCACGGTCAATCCAAAGGTGTCCTAAGACTGTCATCACAGCAACCAGAAACAGCCTGATGGAAGACCTTAGCCATTCCAATCCCCTCCAGTCACTTTCCCTGACAACCCGTCTTTTCAAAGAGCAACCCTCCATTCTCACCTGGGCGCACCTACCAACGCCGCCGTTGTAGCGGCGGAATGGCACGCACTGCTTCTTCAGAGTGACGTCCTTCAGGTACTTGGTGGCCTTTCGAATGTGCATGCCCTTGATGGCCTGGGCAGTTTCACGCGTGTTCTAAACAGGAAACACACCGGCGGTTAACCATGCGAAGGCAGCACCATTTTCAAAGCAAGCATGAAGTTCTCGAATCCTCACGGTGTCAACATCAAGACAGTCGCGACACACTCATGACCGACACCCAGAAGGTGGCTGCTCAGAATTGATTGGTTTTCATGGTCAATCCAAAGGTGTCCTAAGAAAGACATCACTGCAGCTGCCTCCTCAGGATATGGTGTTAAATAAAAGCTCACTGCACCACCCACAGGGACTCTTAGAGCATAAAGGGTTCACATACCTTGAAGTGAACGCGGAGGTTGGAGCCTCTTGATTTGCATGCTAAGAAACAGAGGGCACTGCGGTTAACTGCGGGTTGTCTCATTTCTCTTACCCCCAAATAAGAAACGCACTGAGTGCTGATCACTTACATTTCGTGGGGTTTTCCGGGTCTAGCGAATAGCGAACCATCTTCAGGGGTCACCTGGGAGGGAGGACGGAGCAACTGTCAGCACGCGGATGCACAGTCACCTACAGCCTCAATCTGCACTCAGTGCCGCCAGCAGCTGCTCAGAGAACCGCTGTTTTCACGGTGAATCCAAAGGTGTCCTAAGAGGTGCCATCATCGCAGCCACGCTCTCTCCCCCTCCGGCCTCCCGGTGACTGCAGGCCGGGCGGCACGGCCTTCCCAGCCCCATTGCTCTCTGGGCGGCAACCAGCCCGTTTCAGTGCAACGAGGGCTCCCTCGGGAGCAAGGACACGGCGCCCTGGGGCGGCAGACCCCAGCCGCCACCCTCCGCAGAAACCCCCTTCCCTCGCACAGCTTCACACGGATGCTGCCTTTCCACGCTTCCGTGCTGCCACCAACGTGGCACGCAGCTAACTTGGAAGACTCCTCTAAAACGAGGAAAGCTTCGACCCGACTCTATTCTCCCCCCAACCCCCCAATTTTCTGAGGCCGCCACTCACCGCGAGACACTGGACCTCCGGAGTAAGAGGCGGCACCAACCACGGCCTACCCGGGCTCCCAAAGCCCCCAACCCCTCCCATCGTACCCCTTTTCGGGCCGCACGGCCCGGGCGCCAAGTCGGGCGCTCGGATACTCCCCCCCGCACAGGGGGACACTGCCTTCAGCGAGAAATCAGTAACCGCGAGAGTTCTCTACTCAGGGGCCTCAAAATTGGCGCCCCCAAGGCCAGGATGGCGGTGATAACTGGAGGATTCAACTCTCGGAGAGAGACGCCGAAGAGCAACTCACCTATGGCCGCTTTGGGGAAGAGGAAGAGCGGAAGCTCTTGGGAGATTTCATGAGAACTCAATATCTCGCGAGATTCTCACCCAAAGAAACGAGATTTGAAGAGGGGAGGAGGGAGGGGGAAGACTAAGGGAGTGTGAAATAAGTTTTAGAAGACCTTAAAACGAAATGCCTCATTAGGGACTGTCTCAAAATTCTGCCTTTTTTGATCCAGAAATAAAGTTAGGAATTTTAAATATTAACTAAAGCAGGTTTGTAGTTCTAGGACAGGATCACGTATTATTACATATAGACAAGACATTTATTCAACATTCGTTAAGTTTGATTATGTGATCATGTATCCCTGAAAGTGATTTGTAATTAATTGGAAAATTAAGAAAATGCAAAGGATGGAATGTAATTATGGTAATAAAAAAAATTCACAGGATGAGAATATCACCCAGTCTCTTGACTTGGGGTGGTGAACACACAGTACAATGTACAGAAGATGCATTCCAGAACTTTACACCTGAAACCTATATAATTTTATTAACCAATGTCACCTCAACAAATTTAACAACAAAAAAATATCACCCAGTCAATTGTACTGCAACCTGTGTAAAGAATGTGCTAACTGGCCTGGTTGACGTAGCTCAGTGGTTGAACATGGACCTATATGACCAGGAGGTCACAGTTAGATTCCCCATCAGGGCACATTCGAGGGTTGCAGGCTCCATCCCCAGTAGGGGGCATGCAGGAGGCAGCCAATCAATGATTCTCTTTCATCATTGATGTTTCTATCTCTCTCTCCCTCTCTCTTCCTCTCTGAAATCAATAAAAAATATATTTAAAAAAATAAAAAGCTTACTAATTTCAAGATACTATTTCAGTACTTTTCAATCAGATGCATTTCTTTCATTAACCCTTAGGACAACTGTAGAAAGAGATATTACTATTACTTCTATTCTATAAATGATGAAGTTGAGGCACAGAGAAATTAAGGGACTTCCCCCAAAGTCCCACAGCCCAAAAGTGACATCTGGAAGCAAAGACAAGCCCCAGTGACCAAGTTTGTCATCACTAGGCATTCCTGCCTCTCCCTTGCCTTGTCTTCTCTGTACTTCTAAGTTCTCAAACCAGAAAGCTAGAAAACAATTTCTTTTTTTCTTGTCTTGGCACACACAAGCACTTAAACTCTGTTATTACTGCCAGAGTCTTCTAAGTGGTCTCTGGCCTTTATTTTTCCACACTCTAATATATCCTCCATATTGCTGACAGAATCATTTTGCTAAAACAGCTGCCAAAATGATCACGTCATTTTTCAGGTTCTATTTTTTTTTAATGTGGTTCCTGTTCCAAATTCCTGGGGATGACTTAAGAGCCTTCTATGATCTGTCTTGTGCCTTCTTCATCCCTTAACCTTTCTTTCTTCTTTCCCTACACACTCCTACACTCCTACCCTATTCTCATTGATTTTAGAGAGAGATCAAGCCTATCATTAAAAGACAGACATGATACCACACTTGATTTTGTATTCACTAGCATTGGATTAGACTAGAAGGATTAAAACCTTTGAGATTATTTTCCTTTTAAGGGGAATGGTTTATCCTTTTATTTATGAGGCTAATTCTGTATTTAAATTTATTCTATTTGTTCTCTGTGAGGATGGAAGAAGGTAGAAATCGAAACGTCAATGCTGAGAGAAATTCATGGTTTGACTCCCTCCCGCATGCCTCCTCCTGGGGATTGAGCCCTGCAACCCTGGGCATGTGCCCTGACTCGGATTGGAACCATGACCTCCTGGTTCATAGGTTAATTGCTCATCCACTCAGCCACACCGGCTGGGCAATTCTTAACAATTTAGTTGTTCACTCATCCAGTCAATGATATTTATTGAACACTTATTATATGCCTGCCAATGTGCTAGATGCTGAGTCATAACAAGTCCTAGAAGAATCCCTAACCTCAAGCTACCTACAGTCTTGGGGTGAAGGGATGGAAGGATAGGGAAGTAGGAGGTGAACAATCAATCAGAATACATTGTGAACTGCTAAAGTAGGGGGAGCGTTGAGGACCTTATTAATTGCACTTAGGGTGGGAAAGCTGCCCTGAGTAAATGACATGGCGGCTGCACCATGAATGACCAGGAGTTAACTGGGCGCAGCAGCAAGAGGGAAATGATTGCTGCTTCCCGCGGGGAAGTTCTGTCGCGGGAATTGCAGATGTTTGGGTTACTTTTGGGAGCGATAAGGGGGAGAGGCAAACCTGATCTTGAAGGATCGTATTTGTCTGCAAAGGAGTTTCGAGTGTATCTTAAAGTCGACGGGGGACTTTTGAAAGCACTTCCACCCTTGGGGATGTTTGAGGTGATTTGATCAGATTTCACTTAGGGGAGGATCACTCTGCAGAGAGACATTTGGGATGCGCCAGGGGCCAGACCAGAGGCTGCAAAGACCGCGGGTGGCCTGCACTGGTCTGATTCAGCTCCCCCGCCCCCCAAAGAGAATGGAGAGTGGCGGATGCATTGGCGAGATTTTAGTAAAAGTCAGAGGATTTCATGATCGTAAGCTGTAAAAGTTGGTAATTTTGGAACGTCGCCAACCCTCTCTGGACATCTCTTCCCTGATTGTGTTGCCGACATCTCCTCATTGAGTCTGTAGCACAGTCTCCTTCTGCCTGTTAGTAAATAACAAAGGAGAACCAGTGTCCTGGGTGACACCCCGCAGAGGCATTCTGCATTGGGTTGAAAGGAGAAGCACGGATCTCTACGGGAAGAATTTCATTCAGGAGCAGTTGGGGAAGTGTTTTTGAGGAGCCTTGGGTTTGGAGTTGTGCCAGGAGAGGATCGTTCCTGCCAACCTCGGAGGACACCAGTGTGTGAACCATTTGAATAATAGCAGGGTGCTTTTTGCTTTGCCAAAAATGTTTTATTTCTATGTTTTTCAATTTCTCACTCTTTTTCTTTTATGGTGTTGTGTTAGAAAGGGCTTCTCCACCCTGATAAGATTGTTTAATTCTCCCATTGTGGAAGACACTTTATGGTTTTATTTTTCATGTTTAAATATGCTGCCCATCCAATGTAAAGCCTGAGATATAGATCCAACTTCATCTTTTTCTCATAGCTACCCAAATGGCACAATTTGCTCAGTAGTTTATGTTTTTCCTATAGATTTAAAATGCCATCTTTATCATGTGTGAATAAGGGATATTATTCCAGGGTGGAGAGGATCATGTAGAGCAGTGGTTCTCAACCTTCCTAATGCCGCGACCCTTTAATACAGTTCCTCATGTTGTGGTGACCCCCAACCATAAAATTATTTTCGTTGCTACTTCATAACTGTTATTTTGCTACTGTTATGAATCGTCATGTAAATACCTGATATGCAGGATGTATTTTCATTGTTACAAATTGAACATAATTAAAGCATAGTGATGAATCACAAAAACAATATGTAATGATATATGTGTTTTCCGATGGTCTTAGGCGACCCCTGTGAAAGGGTCGTTCGACCCCAAAAGGGGTCTCGACCCACAGGTTGAGAAATGCTGATGTAGAGGGACATTGGCATCTGGTAACTGAGGGTGGAATTCTATTACTTCCCAGCCGGGTGTCTCAGTGCAAGTTATTTGGTTTCTCTGAGCTTTTCTCCTTCTTTTTTAAAAGGAAAATAACAATACCAACTGTACTGGGTTGCTGAAAAAGTTACAAGAGAAAGTTAAAAGACACAGTAAAAACAATAAAATAGATAACCAGTACATATTGGCTCATTGCTCCTTTCTCCCTCCTTCTCCTTAGAATTTATTTATGGGCATCACCTAATCTGATTCTTTCCCCAAAGCATGGATGTCCTCTATGCTGTCCCGCACTGGTGACCCTCTGTGAGTTTCCTCCTCAAGTCCATTCCCTGGCACCTGTGCCCTGGCCTTCCTGCCAGCTGCCTTCTGACTGGGTGCAGCCAACAGAGAGCATTGGAGGTCATGGGGAG